GTCTGCGAGTGGAGCTGCAGTACTCCAAGAACGAGGTGGAGCTGACCAAATCCAAGCTTAAGAAACTGGAGGAGGACTTGGATACTGCCCGCCAAAAGAACCTCGCCCTCCAGAACCAGATCACCGCCACCGCCAGTGAGTATCTCCTGCCGTGGCTCCTACTTAGTGTGGAGAGGGCCGGCACCTTCAGGAGGGAAAGTGAAGGAAGGGGAAGGTGAAAGAAGAGGGAAAAGATAGAAGAATGGGGTAAATGAATATAGGTATAGATGGAAACTCCTGAAACTATGAATAAAAAAACAGTCAAATCTCAAAGTTCTAATTCTTAAGGAGTGAAAGTACATAAATGGGTCGTCAGTTTTAATTACACCTTTATAATGAGTAAGAGTATTGACATAGTTACACAAAAGGGGAGAATCTGGAGTAACAAATGAAGTCTGATAGATTATAAACGGAAATAATCTGAGGAAAGGTTTCAATTTCGACTCCAGAATGAAACTAAGATGTAATTATGTCAGCCTCATAGAATCATTATATCACTGAAACTGTCACCATAAGTTTTTCTCAACCTCTGTCATAATAATCCTGTCACCATATCACAAGGGCTGAGTATTTTCACTATCACCATAACCACTGTCACCATAACTACTGTCACCATAACCAGCAGAAGTTTGACTCACGCCCTCATACCCACAGACTGCGACAAAACTGAGGAACTGGAGACGAAGATCAAGAGCCTGGAGGAGACGCTGAAGGCCACTCAGGAGGAGAGAGACAAACTCACCAAGACCATAGAAGAGATAGAGACAGAGAGAGATGAAGAGATTAAGATTATCCAAGATGTAAGTATCTCTCTTTCCGTAAATCATCTCAAAATAATCCGTTAATTGGGGGTTTTCACATATAATAGACCCTCCATATATCGGATTTTACATCTAAAGGACCCTCGATATAACGGAATTTCCTCTCCCTGTAATCCGTTAAATGGAGGTTTCACTGTTTATATGTACCTGCACCTTACACCTACTCTAGCGCTACATATCTACCAACATTATACACCAACCACCACTATAAGCCCCCGCACCTACCAGTACCACATCTACCAACATCCACCAACCACCACTACCAGTACTACACCTACCAGTACTACACCTATCAACATCCACCAACCACCACTATAACCCAGCACACCTACCAGTACTACACCTACCAACATTATAACCCCCCACACCTACCAGTACTACACCTACCACCACTATAACCCCCCACACCTACCAGTACTACACTCCACCAAACATCCACCAAATCCCACCACTATAACCCCCCACACCTACCAGTACTACACCTACCACCACTATAACCCCCCACACCTACCAGTACTACACCTACCAACATCCACCAACCACCAATATAACCCCCCACACCTACCAGTACTACACCTACCACCACTATAACCCCCCACACCTACCAGTACTACACCTACCAGCATTATACACCCGAAATCAACATTCAGAACAAGATCATAACAGGATTTAGGGAGGACGGCTCCAGTGTGGTAGTTAATTTATGTTTAATTAGCCGGAATGATGCTGTTAATGTCTCACACGCCAATATATTGTTGTCAAGAAATTCCAAGAACATTCTCATCTGTGTAGAGTCTCCTGCAACACAAAGACGATTAGCATATGTGCAAACGTCTGTTAATATCGTGTTTGGTTAGGTTTGGTTGGGTTTGGTTAGGTTAGGTTAGGTTAGTTTAGGTTAGCTTAGGTTAGGTTAGGTTTGGTTATTTGACGACATACATTCAGACGTGATTATTGATTTTTTCCTTTGCAAGTTTTATAAGGTCAGGTCAGGTCAGGTCAGGTCAGGTCAGGTCAGGTCAGGTTAGGTTAGGTTAGGTTAGGTGAGGTTATTTGACGACGTTAGGTTAAGTTAGGTTAGGTTAGGTTAGGTTATTTGACGACGTTAGGCTAGGTTAGGTTAGGTTATTTGACGACGTTAGGTTAGGTTAGGTTAGGTTATTTGACGACATACATCCAGACGTGATTTTACAAGTGTTTTAAGATAGTTATATATTGTTGAAGTAATATATTGACATGTTTCCAATTATTGTAGTTTGAAGTGCAGTCTGGCATCTTCACTCTCCCACACACACACTCACTTGCACTCTCCCACACTCACTTGCACTCTCCCCCACACTCACTTGCACTCTCCCACACACTCACTTGCACTCTCCCACACACTCACTTGCACTCTCCCACACACTCACTTGCACTCCCACAGTGCACTTGCACTCTCCCACACCACTTGCACTTCCTCCCACACACCCACTTGCACTCTCCCACACTCACTTGCACTCTCCCCACACACTCACTCTTGCACCTCCCACACCATTTCTGCACTCCCCACACACCCAATTCTGCACTTCCCCACACACTCACTTCTGCACTCTCCACACACACCTCACTTGCACTCTCCCACACACACCACTGTACCTCCCCACACACCACTTGCACTCTCCCACACACTCACACTTGCACCTCCCCACACACCACTTGCACTCTCCACACACCACTTGCACCCCTCCCCACACACCACCTGCACCTCCCCACACACCCACTTGCATCCCCACACTCACTTGCACTCTCTCCCACACACTCACTTGCACTCTCCCCACACCTCACTCTGCACTTCCCCACACACCTACTTGCACTCTCCCACACACCTCCACTCTGCACCTCCCACACACCTCACTTGCACTCTCCCACACCTCCACTTGACCTCCCCACACACCCACTCTGCACTTCCCCCACACCCACTTTCACACCTCCCACACTTCCTTGCACTCTCCCCACACCACTTGCACTCTCCCACACACACACTCACTTGCACTCTCCCACACTCACTTGCACTCTCCCACACACTCACTTGCACTCTTCCACACACTCACTTGCACTCTCCCACACACTCACTTGCACTCTCCCACACACTCACTTGCACTCTCCCACACACTCACTTGCACTCTCCCACACACTTACTTACAGTCACATTCACTCAAGTTTACTCTACTCCCACACACACTTAAACTCACACTCACTCACTCACTCACTCACTCACTCACTTTTACTCTCTCACTCACACTCACCCACACACTTGAGTCTTTCTGTCACACCCTCTTACTCTTAACCTCCCTTCCCTCTCTTTTTATTTTCATTCTTTCAAGTCCACTTTCTCCCCTTATTTTTACTCTATATTTTTCCTCCATTCTTCCTGCTTTTATTTCCTTTTCAATTTTTCCAGCACTTTGTTTTTTTTCCTTCCTACATTCTCGTTTTATCCATGCCTTTTCTTTCTTTTTTGTTCATCTTTTTCTACCCTACCTGAGTATTGTCGTTTCCTCCCCTTTATCTTGTTTTCCTTCTCTTTCTCTCCTCTCTCCTCTTCTCCTTAGTTTTTTACCTCATATTTCCTTTCCTTTCCACTACGCTTTATTCTTTTCTCTCATCTCTTCCTTTCCTCTTCCATCACACCTCGGTCTTCCCTCACAGCTTCCTCCCTCCATTGCCTGATTACTAACCACCTCCCTCCCATTCTTTCTATCTGTTCTGCCCCCTTCCTCCCCTGACCCCTCTCCGTGGATAGATGCCCAGCCATCTCCTCCTCCCCTGTGGATAGACACATACTTACCCCCTCCCTCCCCCGTGGATACACAAGCCATACCACTCCCCCTCCTCACCCCTGTGATGGCTAGCGTTATACTTACCCCCTCCCTCCTCGGATACACAAACCATACTTACCCCTCTCCCTCCCCCGTGGGTACACAAGCCATACTTACCCCCTCCCTCCCTCAGGATACATAGCCATACTTACCCTCCCTCCTCGTGGATACACAAACCATACTTCATTCCCCTCCCCACCCTGTGGATACAGATATTGATACTTACTCTCCTCCCTCGTGGATACAAAACCATACTTACCCCCTCCCTCCCCGTGGATACACACACAGCCATACTTTACCTCCTCTCCCCCGTGGATACACAAAGCCATACTTACCCCCCTCCCCTCCCGTGGATACACACATACTTACCCCCTCCCTCCCCCCTGTGGATACATATTACATACTACTCTCCTCGTGGATACACAAGCCATACTTACTCCCCCCTCCCTCCCCTCGGTGGATACACAAGCCATACTTCACTCTCCTCACTTCTTGTGATACACAAGCCATACTACCCCCTCCCTCACCCCTGTGGATACACAAACCATACTTCTACCCCTCTGATACTCTCTCCTCCCCTGTGGATACACAAGCTATAGTTTTACCTCCTTCCCCTGTGGATACAAGATATACTTAATCATCCATCGGGTGTTCTTCCCCGTCTCTCAGGCCCTGGACGAGGCGGCACAGGAGAGGGAGGAGCTGATCGCCACCTTCGAGAAAGAGTTCCAGAACATGAACACGATGAACAGCACCCGCGAGCAGCAGCTGATGGAGGACTTCGAGTGGAAGCTGAGGGAGATGGAGAAGGACCACAAGAAGAAAGTAGAGGAGAGAGAGAGGAAAGCTGAGGTAAGAGAGAGATATAGAGAGAGAGTGAGAGAGAGAGGTAGGTCTGCTGGTGAGGATATTCAGTAAGGGGATGTTAAGACACTAGCTTGTGGGGGTAATTCGTAGGAGGTGAGACAGAACACGACCAAGAATAAGGGACAGTGTTTAGACGGCTGGAAAAGACAGTGAGAAAGCATTATAGGGGAGAAATTCATATCGGGTGAGTATGTAGTTGTAACACTTCGAGGGTGATGGAAAATGTATTGAGATTTAAGACTTAAGATGTCACTGCTACTCCCTCTGGTGTTGTCCTCGAAGAGTTTGTATTACCTGAGCGACAACCCTCTCATCCAGGAACTAATATATAAACCTTCTGTACCGGTGTATTTGAATCCGTCACCTTTGTCACCTATAACTACTAAAATGCACCATACAAAATAACCTAATTCTTTTATATCTGATGAACCTGAGGAAAATAATAATGTTTGTTTGTTTGTTAAAGCGATTATTGACCATCTGACCAATAAGTTATAATTTTGGTTGTTTTTTTAATTCTGGACCACATCTAACCCATGTGTGGAGATGCCAGTCAAAGGCAAACTTACAATAGTCAGACGAGAGTTTGTATCTTCCCTTTGGACTCGAGTCAAGCGAGAATCTCACATCTACACTTAAACTGGGAGTCCAAATAGTGTTTCCCTATAACCTGATAACTACCTTTACTATGTGTGGCTGACGAGAGCTGCTAAAAGTACCAATTGTCTACTACAAGTGTTGCTCCTCGGGTCCTCCCCAGGAGAGGATTAATGCGATGAGGAACTTAGTGGAGTCTGAGCTGGCCGACTCCCTCATTAAGGTGGCAGAGGACCGACGCATAGCCGACGAGCAGCTGGCTGAGGTAGGTGCTGGCGACCCACCGCCCCGCCGGCCCTTTGGTGCCTCCCAAACCCTGCCTCCTGGGTTCATGACCACCTGTGTCTCAGTAAATCCTTGTGTTTATATACAGCTCAAGGTGTCACATTGGTTCCAGGTCACATCCACGAGGCAGTGTGTTGACTTCAGACCAAACCTCTTGACAAGGCTCACGGCTGATTGGTCATCTCAACTGTTTATAAAGAATATATAAAAAATGTCTTTGCAAACACATGAACACTCACTCACTGTTACCAGTTTGAGAGCCGCCATGTTAAGAGGTTTAGTCTGTGTGAGAAGGTGTTTAACTGCTGTGTATTTCCTTTATGTTGAGTTTCCATAAGTCTTATACGGGAGCAGTTTATAGTTATAACCAATCTTGTAACTGCCCCCTCCTCACTCAAAGTATCAAAAACAAGTTCCATAGTCCACTGAGTCCCCCAAATACTGTATATATAGTATACTCTCAGGTGTGGTCTTTGGCTACACTCACTACTGACTTTATTTGTCAAGAAAATACTTCCCTGTTTGTATACTATTCTTACGATGACGTCATAGTGATACGAGATAAAATTTATAAGTCGTGAGTTTGTGTCACTGAAAACTACACTTGAAGTTGGGCGTCATAGACCACAGTTACTGAACCACACAAGGGAAATACAACAGTTAATAATACGAGATGTTTATGTTGCTGTGCTGCTGTAGTGCTGCTGTCGTGCTGCTGTTCTCCAGTTGTTCTCGTCTTTGTGTTCTCATTGTCGTCCTGTCGATTTAATTCCAAATGTTATGCTTCGCTTATATATATTTTTAGTTGTTTTATTTTACTTTATTTCTGCGACTTACTTCTTCAACCTCAAAAATTTTCCTCCTAAATTTTGCTGTAGAATTTGCGTTCCTCCACGGTCCATACAATACTGTAGAGTAGCTACCTAATATTAGTGTTCCTTAAATATTAGAAAATTAAATTTTTTATAAAACAATTTTTTACCACCAGGATAATGACCAAATCCTTTATACCAGGACCCAAGATTTTTCTACATAAAATCATTTGAAAACTAAAGAATTACTTTAGTGTTACTGATGGATAGAAGACTATCATGATCCCTTCTTGTTCAGACGTGGCTGGTGCGACTCACTCAATGTTTACTCTTAAGATAATGATTTATTTTACTCTAATGAACTTTACGTGTATTAAAAGCTATCCCCAGCTGTGTTTCCCTCGTCTCATACAAACACCCTTGACCACTCCTTCCTTTGACTCCTTCCCCTTCCGCGCCTTGGGGAGTTCCCTTGCCTTGAGTGACCCTGTGTGACCTGTGTGACCATTGTGTTCCCCGAGGTGGGTCATCTGAAGAGCTACGAGGCGGAGGCCATCCAGCTACGCGGGGTGACCCACGAGCTGCAGAAGGCGCTGCGGGCGTCAGGAGAGATGGAACACTTAAAAATGCGGGAGAAAATCTTAGAGGAGGAGATACGTGGCCTGAAGAAGGCGCCGCCGAACCGTCAGGGTAGGACAGGTAGGGAGTTTGTTGTGGTTGTTGTCTCACTCAGACGGCCTCACCTGGTCTGCTCTCTCCAGCCTGCAGTCACCAGGTAAGTGAACCAATGGGCTGATATAAACACCTTCATTGTGACTGATCAGTATGAAAAGTCTATTAGCAATTGATAATAAATGTACTTAATATATTACAGGCACTTATTACACCTGTCCTGTTTGGTGATTAATGTCCGTATACCTGACCATATAGGTGTTAATATATCATCACTGATTTAAGATCACTTTATAAATAGATTGATTTTAACTGAAAGGAAGACGTATAGGTTAGGGAGTGATGCAGCACAGTATAGGTTGTGGCCGATACTGACCTTCATAATACCTCTTAGTTTATATTATTGTGGCTGTGGTAAAGTCGGTTATCGCTGTGGTTGGCAAAGTCGATTGGCTGCCAGCTTTGTCATCAGTCCAAGGGAGGAAGAACATACATATGGCATAACTTGATGAAGGGCGAGATATGGCGATCATCACATGTCAGTCCAGTAAGGTGTGTGGGTGTAGTCCAGTCCATAACCTTATGGCCACGGTGACATATTTATCTGGTGGGGAGGAAAGATGTGGTCGTATTTTCCAAGTGGACTTTCCTCACACCCTACACCTAAAGTGACCCTGGACTTGTGACTCCTCTGTGCCTGTGATCATGGCCGGACAAGTTGTGGAATTATTTTGATGTCATTATTGATGGTGTAAGACTGTGTTAATACTTACAAACGACCACCTGAATGTGACGCCTACGAGTCTACTTCCTAAGTGAAATTATTATTGTTTTTGTCTTGTGTAGTGTCGACACATCCAGTACAACCAAGAAAGATTATGCCTCAAGAAATCTCAACATTTCTCCATGGAACTTGTTTGGTTGTATTATGTGGTAAACTGGTCATGGCATCAGTACATTCAGCCCGACAGCCGCTGACTGTGTGCATTTCAGAGGCTTTTACACGTGTATGTTATTGTATATTATGGAAATTAAACTCTTTTAGTGGAATAAAAAAACCATTAAGAGTAGATTACAGGCGTAAGGAGCAAGAGCAGGCGTAGCATAAGTAAGAATACCTAACGTGAAGACTTTGTGCCAACAGAACACACTGCACAGAGCCAAGAGGCAGGCCGAGGAGGCGGAGGCAGAGTTCCGTCAGAAACAAGAGAAGATGAAGAACGAACTCAACGCTGAGGTAAGGTCACTGTGTGTGGACTTCAACTGTGATATTGACCCCGAGTATTTAATCTCAAGAAGTCATTTTACATCACGTACACTGAACTAACGTAATCTATAGTTCTTTAAACTTAGTAATTAAGATGTCAGTTAGAGGAAATATGAAAGATCTGTTAATTACCAGGACCTAGACACAACCTCACGCTGGATGATGCTACCTACACATTAATGTTCGCTTGTGTTACCATACAGTATACGGTCAATGACAGTGGTTGTGGGGGAGGTGATGTTCTTCTTTAACTCGAAATTTTGGTGTTTTTTATTTGTATATTCTTTTTAATGACTTCTTGTGCGTTCCTAAAGACAACCCATAATGTGGTGACCATGGTTACAACACTCTCACATAACGATGGAACTTGTTTGATGATACAGTGCTTCCCTAATCATTGGTAACATTTTATTCTCAGTTTTTTAGTTCAAGAATAAAAGGTTATAATGAAACAAATAAACACAGAAAAGGGCACCGACTATTGTACTGGTGGTGGCGGCGGGTAACTGATATATAATATAACATTATTTAGATCAAGCAGACACATCGTTAACGCTTACACACTGAGTCTCATGACAACACAACAGCTGTTATATGTCTGTTGCGGCAGCCAGAGTCAGCTGTGTGACACGTGTAGTAGATCACAGAGAATTGTGAGTAAGACGGTGGGTCAGAGACTAGCCAGGTTGTCTTATTGTATTAACCAATGTGTGTCAGCGTCCTTGGTAGCCAGAAGCGGTCACATAGACGAGCTCTACCATAAACGAATAGTACAAACGTGTGATCCAATTAAGCTTAGTTACTGGCGCTCTCTCGTAACACAGCCGCAGGGACATAACAGAGCTACAATACTGCCTCACATGGTGGTAATCTCCCACATCAGCCATCAAACTTTACTCCAGTAGCAAAGTTTCCTCGTACCCTGTGTGTCTTCCCTTTCCAGACATTTCAAATTCAGTGAGCGTGTTTTTGGGCTCCCTCTGGTAAACATTGGGGTGGTGGCTATCAAGAGGTGTTGGATGACCGTCTCATAGCGGTGTGGAGAGCAACTTCAGCCCAGTTGAGAGAACCGTAGCTCTTTCCTTTTCTTAATTCCTCATTACATCTCTTAACAAAACAGTTCCAAAAGATTCAATGACTTTTTAGACACAATTTAGCTTAAGGCTCGTATAAATGACAACACTGATACAGTCTAGCTCTGGATGACTGTGAACTGACTAACGGAAAAGTCTCTCTCTATGGTGACACTATAGAGACGTGTGATAGGTTGGAAAACTTTCTGCCGCGTGTTAATTGGACGAGACTCTACTTCAGCCTTATCACAGGAACCAGACATTGTGTTTCTGGCGTCGGGAGGGTAAGAGGAGGAGGAGGAGGAGGAAGGGGAAGAAGAGGAAGAGAAAGAGGAAGGGGAGGAGGTAGGCCTGCACAGGAAGAAACTCAGAGGGACTGCGCCTACAGCAATTATTGACAATCTGATAAGGAGGGAGGGAGGGAGGCTGAGTGTGTGGGTGTGTGTTGTGTTGAGTACTGTGTGTGTGTCTCCTATACATTGAGAGTAACTATATATCTCCATCACAGTGGGAGGACAAACTGAGGTCAGAGTGCTCGAGGTTGAAGGCTGAGCTGGATGACCTTCACGCCGAGGAGAAGCACCTGGCAGTCGAATCCATGAAGGTACAGAAGGAACAGGAACAGGGGCGCTCAAACAGTCATGGGAACTTCGCCAGGAGGAGATGACCAAAGAGGTGAGTTATGAACGACAGCGCTGGCGAACACAACGAACTGATGGAAGGTTTAAAGGCTGTATCAAGATGAGAAGCTTTGGAATATAGAAGAACATTGAAGATTACCCAAAAAATTATATATATGTTGATCTAGAATGAAGAAATGTATGGATGGGAGAGAAAGACTTAACTGTTTTAAGCTGTACTTCAACTATTACGGCTGTGTGGTGAATACATTACTCATATAACACATTACTATCGTGTACCCAACCTTACTTAAGAACAATTGATGCATTTTTACACCCATTGGAAGTCTTTGCTAGACTACAGCCAGAAGTAAATATTAAGCAAATATGACCCTTAATCATAACCTAACATAACCTAAATTGAATCTAACCTGACGTCCTGGTTTGGTGCAGATCTCGACGTTGAAAGACAGCTTGACGGACAAAGACGCTTACTACCACAAGGAGCTCGAGAACATGAGAACCAACGCGGACAGAGATGTGTGGGAGCTCCGCCGTAAGTTGCAGAGGCTGGACGAGAAGAACTGGACGCAGCAGGAATACCTTCAGGAAAAACACCACGAGGAGATGGGTCAGTACCTGTGACACCTTTGTATTTACCTGTGATCTCCTCCTACATTTAGTTAGTTATTTAGTTAGTTGGTTTTAGTTAGTTGTATGGAAAAAATATCTTCCAAAGTCAATCTTGATATATAGTTTGTTGTCATTGTAACTGTGTTGTTTACCTCCTGTCTCATTTAACACTTCAATAGTTCATTTCCACTTCTGACAACCTTTGTTTATAAGGACTTTACAGGTAGTTGTAACGATCACAACCATTATATTTATTCTTCAATTTATCTGTTGTTGTCATTCATGTTGTGAGTACAGGTTATACATTAATTACAAGTGATGATCAACAACTACCAACACAAACTATAAAATTATAATTCTTGTTTACTATAAATGAGATAAATTTTGTGTTGCATAAAGTGTTCAAGTGAAGCTGTGTTTGTTATAATACTTTACAGTCTTATATAAACTTCTTTCTCGTCCATAGTTGTGTGTAACTCAGAGACAGACACAGAAGAGTGACCAAAGTGTTAACACGTGAAACTTGTTCAAACAATGTAAAAGATTCTCTCGTAACTCACTCAGTCTCTTATACACGGCGGGGTAACTCCTGCTACGCTGAGGAGTCATCCTCACACACACACACACACACACACACACACGTACGTTTGCTTAACCACGTTCCTAGTGTTATATTACGTGCCCTTGCCCACAATGACCCGAGGTAGTATTTTACACTCACCCCTCCCCCTTGTCCCACACACAGAGCGGCTGCGGGGAGACTTCAAGGACCGAACGTCAGACATGGAGAAGCGTCTGGCCGTCGCCCTGAAGAACTCTGACGAGGAGAACCGCCTGCAGGCTGAAAAGACGCACAACGACGAGATGGAGCACCTCTGTGATCAACACAGACTTAGCATGGGTATGTTTATCAGCCTGGTGACTCACAACCCTCGTCCCCTTTCCTTCTATCTCTCCCTCCCTCCCTCCCTCCCTCCCACTTGTTTGTTTTTGTGTGTTTTCAATCTGGTTATAAACAGATACATGGATCATGCCCACCTACAGTGATATATTTGCAAATAAGTGTGTGTGTATGTGTGTGTTTGTGTGTGACTCACCTGTGTGTGTGTTGATGTTCCCAGAGCGGCTACGAGAGGAGCTGGAGGCTGAGAAGTTCCAGGCGGTGGAGGAGGCGAGAGTGATAGTCTCTAAACACCTTGAGTACGTCCACCGCCACCCTCAGAGAACAGCTCACAGAGGCCGTCACCTCCAACAACCAGGTCAGCCCTACTGTGATAAGGTCCTGCACTACTACTACACCCAGGTCACACACACACACACTACTACACCCAGGCACACACACACACACACACACTACTACACCCAGGTCACACACACACTACTACACCCAGGTCACATACACACTACTACACCCAGGTCACACACACACTACTACACCCAGGTCACATGCATACTACTACACCCAGGTCACACACACACACACACACACATACCACACCACTACACACCCAGGTCACAACACACACACACACACTACTACAACCAGGTCACACATACACACGCACTACTACACCCACGTCACACGCACTACTACACACCCAGGTCACACGAACTACTACACCCAGGTCACACAAACTTGTACACCCAGGTCACACACACACACACACACACACTACACACCCAAGTCACTGCACACACACACACACACACACACACACACTACTACACCCAGGTCACACACACTACACCCAGGTCACACGCACTACTATACCCAGGTCACAAGAACTACCACACCCAGGTCACACAAACTACTACACCCAGGTCACACACACACACACACACTACACACACCCAAGTCACTGCACACACACACACACACACACACACACACACACTACTACACCCAAGTAACACAAACTACTACACCCAGGTCACACGCACTACTACACCCAGGTCACACGAACTACCACACCCAGGTCACACAAACTACCACATCCAGGTCACACAAACTACTACACCCAGGTCACACAAACTACCACACCCAGGTCACACACACTACTACACCCAGGTCACACAAACTACTACACCCAGGTCACACACAGTACTACACCCAGGTCACACAAACTACTACACCCAGGTCACACACAGTACTACACCCAGGTCACACAAACTACTACACCCAGGTCACACACACTACTACACCCAGGTCACAATAAACTACTACACCCATATTCTTCTTTGTTACATGTTATTTTTTTAAACACGAGAATATAAGAATTCCAATGCATCAGGTTTAATGTTTACTGACCATGGTACACCACAATTACTATAACATAATCAGGTCATATACTATTTGCATTTACCGATGACATGTTTCAATACATATTTAATTGCAAATATCACTAGATGTATTGAATTATGTTGAAAAATGTATACATATTAATTTTTCGTTGTCACTCCGCAATGAAATCACACCAAATGTATTTTTCGTGAATGTTTTGGACTCCACAAATGACCACAAGACCTAATATTACACGTTATAGTTCCCAGGCCTCGCTAACCTCATTATGTGGTCAGGTCTTTGTTACTGAGGAGGTTCTGGTCAGCCGTCAGTGTTATGCCCAGTCTCCCTACGGTCTTGCCAGGGTTAATTACGCACCAGATTCACTACGTCTCAACTTTCCTGAAAATGTTCATTTTAAAATCCATTGTGCTTTACTGAAGTGTTGGATAGGGCTTTCTAGTGAGTGTGCGTGCGTGCGTGCGTGCGTGCGTGCGTGTCTTTGGAATGTACAGATAATGGGTAGCTCATTATCTGTGTTTACGGTGGAGGAATCACTGTCAACATCAGACTAGTTTGTGTTGGTGTCTGTGGCATTATTGGATAGAAACGTGGTAGCAGCCGAGAGATGTTTGTGTGAGTGACGGCCTCGTGAGTGACGGCCTCGTGAGTGACGGCCTCGTGAGTGACGGCCTCGTGAGTGACAGCCTCGTAACAGTCTCCTCCCTCTCCTTCCTGCAGCAACGAGAGGAGCTGGACGCGATACGGTCGGCACTCGCTCTGCGTGAGGAAGTCATCAGATCACTCGAGGAAGATGTGGCTAAGCTTAAGGGTACTGAGGGCGCCGTCGCCTCCTACTGCACCACCTCCCAAAGCTCCCTCGCCTCCTCCAGTGATTCTGGCAGTTCTCAAGGCTCAAATAACTCTCAAGACAGACTCAGCCTATCGGAATCCGTCGGCGCTTCTGTCGACAGCCAAGACGACGCTCACAAATCTGGGTAAGTGGATACTTTTGTGTACAACTCTACCACCTATTCCTTCCCCCACATAGTGATGATATACACATGAAATACTACAGCATGTTATCGTAATAAACAGCATGACGATAACTAGAGATAAAAATCTTACAATGACAGCAAATTTCGGTTTACTTAATCGACTCTTAGAATGAATCGATTTTCTAAGTAAATGCGAAATTATTTACCTGATTCAAGGAAGAAAAATTATATAGCATTGATCGAAAATTCTGTTGCAGTAAAGGTAATTCAGCGTTAAGGTACGGTAATTGACCATAAGGCATAGGTAGTCCTGAGATCATAGATGAATTTCAACTGAGAGGAAAACATTTGGCTAAGATGATAAGTAGTCGCTATTGTAGGTAGTCTCCAGGTGGGCCGATTACACATTTCAGAGAAACAAAAAGTTTTAAATTCGTTACCATTTATCTGGCTTGTAATAGAGCTGTAAAAGAGAATTACATTAAGTTTATGTTCCTTTTAGTTTTACAAAGGTTGTGATAAGACAGACATACTGAATGAGTGGAAAAAGGAACACACACACACACACACACACACACACACACACACACACACACACACACACACCTGCATGTTCACACGTAAGAGAAAATGCATCTCAGCTGTTTAATAAAAGCAAACTGTTGTAGACAGTAATGTAAGAGCAGAGTTGGGATAATTATAATGTGTTATCGCTGCTGTGTTAGCTGACAGTAATTGAGCCATGCTACTTCTTGTGTGTTATGTGTTGCTGTTGTGGATAATATATATGTATATTATGCATGGCTCAGACATTGATCTTGGTCATGTTTATAATATAGTATGTATGGCTTAGCAAATAATTAATGTCTAGTAATAGGTTTTTTCGTTTGGAAATAGTTTGTGATGAATCGGGTGTCTCACGGAGCTACATTATGTTGAAGGGAATATTTGAAACTTATTTTGTTATTCATGTGTTGAGTCTATCAAGGGGGTGTGATGCTTAATGTGAAAAAAAAAATCTTTCTATTTTTGTCCATTTCTAGCGTGGTGTATCTCTATCTCGCCTTGTTCGTCCTCTTCTTCAAATATCTCCCTTCTGATATAGCTCTGGCCCTAACCAGTATAGGCTTAGTAACTCTGCCCCTGCATCTGGCCACGGGCAAATTCGTAGATTAATTCACTTGCTGGTGGACATTACGTTAACAGCAGAGTTCATGATGTAGAGCCCAGAACGATGCGAAACCCGCAGTGTGTGTTGGTGTAGGTGCTCAGTCGCCCTCGCCACAACCCAGACCAGGGCCAACACCGCATCCTTACCTACACACGCATACTCCCATACACCCTTCCTCTCCTGTGTTTAAGATGTGATTTTTTTTCTCGTGAGTTTGTCTTTTTTTTATATAAATAGTTTATATTTTTTTTATAGTTTTGGTGTAGTAGCTGTGGCCGCTTGTGTAAGTACAGTAGGTAGCAGTGTCTCCTACCCCCTCTTACTGCTTCTCATATTGACGATGAGTGTCCCTTCTCTGCGGTAGTGGTAGCGGTCTCCTGGGCAAGGTGTTTGGAGGCGGTTGGTTCAGCAGCACCAAGACCAAGGAGAACAGCAGGCGGGGGAGCGCCCCTGGCAAGCAGTCCTCGTGAACCCCTGTTCTCACCTCCGTGGACACCCTCCCAACTCCACGGAGTACACCCGCCCGATCTAACTCACGCCTCGGCTCAGGTGCTCAAGTTTTCCCATTAACACCTTCTGCAGTCGCTGTTTTTGTTGCACTTATTATTCGTAGCTTGACCTTAGCATGTGAGCTTTACTGCATGATAGTGGACCAATACACCTGATGATGATGTGACCCCGCATGACCCTAAGTTTATGTTAACTCCTTTCAGACAAAGTTAAACACTAATGGTGCATTCACACCAAGGCCGGAATCATATTTACTCTGACGCAAGTTGTCCGGAGACAGACGATATGTGACGCCGTGTTGGGTATTATGATTTTTTCACCTCAGCCAATACTTGTTGCACGACTCACTGTCTCTGGAGAGAGAAAACTGTCTTCCTCTAGGATAAAATATGAAAGATTCAAATTAGATGTGATTCGAATATAGTGTGAGATGTGTGTTGTTAACTTGACTCGCTTGTTCGGACAATTTGCATCAGAATATATCCGTTCAAGCCTTGGTGTGAACGGACCCTAAACATTACTGTCTCACGTAAACGAGATCACGATGATGAAGGGAGTTAAACATGTATTGCCGACGGGAAGGAATGTTTACCCGGTGGCTTCCGTTAGACCCTTTGACCTGGCTTCTTGGATATTTGAGGTGAACTCTGCTGTTGTAATACGCTTAATACCGAATTCTGAGAAATTGAATATAATGGATTTGAAAGTTAAATGTACAGTTAGGTGGAAGCTGAACCTCGAAGCTGTGAACGGTGGCGTCTCGTGGTGTGCTACTGACCGCAGTCTGCTGCCGGCCCCTAGTGCATGTAAGTAGGTCGGGCCCGCAGGCACACCGCTCGTCTCCTCATTACTCCATAGTCCATAAGACCTCATTCATGTACTACCTGCTGTTTATCCCTCTCTTGCCTAATGACCAGACTCGACACACTTTCTGGCTTGTCGGACATCAGCTTTATAACCAGGCGTGTGTTCTCTTCCTATTTTGACTGCCGATACTAATGGCAGCATTTTATCTTTACTCTGTGGTATGTCTTTTACACCCCACACTCATGCCTACTGTGCGCTCCGATCACAATAAGTGACTCACGCCGTGTCAATAAGAGTTTTGCTATCAAGGTTATACTTTGAAATCAAAATTCTGAGTGACTTATGTCTGAAATAAGAATTGTTAAAAAGTGATTATCCAAATTATGTCCTTCGCAACAATGAGACTCACGGAGTAGATCAGTCCTGGTAATGGCCATCCTATTAGGGATTTAGTGGAGTTGTTATGATATCAGTTACCGTAGTCATCACCTCGGAGTCATTCACATTTAAGGATATGACCGTCAAGCCTAAAAGTCATTAAAAGTGTGTTGTTGACCCATTAGTGCATGCCTCTATCACTCCTCATGCTAAAGACCTCGACATTCTCGTTGGCATCAGTTAAGTGTGATTCCACATAAAAAAATACCAGGTGTATCTCTTGTGTCACCATAGGAGGCCCAAGATCAGGTTCCCCTCACCAGATGGTAACACTATTTACACTAGGTATCTCATTGGTACAGAGACACATGTATACGTTTGTTCCCTCTTATTACAAACACCGATTTAGGTTTTTCTTGCTGCTCATAACACTTTAAACCTCTATTTACTTAAATTGTTTTGGGGTTTTAAAGTTTGACGACTAATTTCACGTCGATGGCTCACATGACCTATTATCTGAACCACTCGTGTGTGTCAGAGACTGGTGATCGATACCACGGGGTTAACACTACTATGACCTCTCCTCCCTGACTACCATGGAGTGTGTGACAATGTACTTGGTATTATAAAGTCTTCTGGAGTTAAGATTGTCCATCGAAATTTTGCATGAGAAACCAAACTAACTATATCTTTTTGCATGATTTTGGGGTTTTTGCTTGTCGACCTAAGAGACTAGTGATACGACAACTTGTGTGTTTGTGTGACGTTTACTCCATAATGAGGAGTTTAGTTTGGCTGTGAGTAAACTCCCTCGTTGTTAACTCGTCGGTAAACTAATGCTTACTATTAGTTAAGGTTTAGATATAGAAATAATTAAGACATATACATTTACTACAGTTGACATTAAGAACAAGAGAAAGATTAAATCAGATCAATGAGTTTGTTTTTTTCGTACCACAGACGTACACACACACACGTAAATGCACACAAGAATGTAGGCGGTTACGTATGCACACACACACGCACTAACTCGTACACATCACTCATACACACGCACGCACTCATACACACACACGCACGCACTCATACACACACGCACACATTCATACACACACGCACACACTCGTACACACACGCACGCACTCATACACACACCTACTGGCACACGGACATACACACATCTACTGGTACACACACACACACACACACACACACTGATACACACACACAGACGCGCCTGATACACACACACACACACACACACACACACACACACACACACACACACACACACACACACACACACTGATACACACACTGATACACACACACACACACACACACACACACACACACTTACACAAGCATACAGACACATTCATATCTGAACAATTCATCACAGGCACACGCTGAAACGTAAAATAAAAGTATGAAAAATATTGCCAAGCATCCTGTCCTGCCTCAGGTCCGGAAGTTCACTGCTAAGGCTGTGTTTCTCCCCCAGCTGCGGGTAAGGCGGTCACCCTGGACACCTCCCCCGCGGCCGAGCCCTCCTATACCTCCCGCCGTGGAGGCTGGGGGGGCCCAAGGCTTCATCACTCCTCATACTTACGACGTCGTCACCAGATGCCATCATCAACACTTCCTATTTCTACTTTAATATTAGACAAAATACTTAGATTTTTATGTCATTACCTGTATAGCGATGTATATTTTGCTGGGAACTCAACTCTGGGCTTGCTCCTCTGACATTGGCCAGTGATCATTATTGGAATTACTGTTTAGTTTGCTGCTTCAGTAGAGCACTTTACTCCTGACGCAGTTTGTATCTCTCATCTCTCGCTTTCCCTCTCTGGTGGCAATATATTCCACATATGGTATGGAGACTATTGTTCATAGTTCTTACGCTATCGAGCCCTGGGTTGAGCAAGAGCCACATGAGGCCCCATCTAACAGGGTCTCACGCTGGTGCGGATCATCTCACAGCCAGAGATGAAGGTGCTGGAGGTAAGACACACCCCCCAGCAGGCCCTCCCCTCCCTCCGCCACACTAACAACCTTCTATGGTCACCACAACCAAACAAGGAATACACGGCGTTAACAGGTATTTATTTGGGAGGAAAATCTACAGTGAAGATTCAAGAAGAGGAGGAGGAGGAGGAGGAGCAGCGGGTGTGTCAGCCCTGTACGGCGTGTTACTCTGAAGGCAACGCGCCGAGACCCTACTTAACCTACAGCACCTGCGGGGTTGACTGGAGTAAAATAACCTCGCTCCTGCAGGCACCGACCGGGATAAGTCTTGGGGTTCATTAAATATTATGAACACCCGGACAGTGACCAGTTACTTGGCTCTCGTGTATGGTTGAACGTCCTTAGGGTATTCTTGAGTGTGTCAGAGAGAGGCCAAGTGTGTTCTGCTGTCAAGACCGGTTAGGAAGCTCCCCGGGCAGCTTGCTAATGTTCCAGTGAGTGGCAATAATAGACCCGTTTCTGTGCTCCGTGTGATGCGCCTGTATACTGTAAGGTCTCTGTAAATATGGGATGTGAGGTTGTGTATAGTGTGAGAGTGAGCACGGTAACATGTTCTCTGTATTTTACTTGAACAAGAGTTTTGTAGTTTTATATATGATGACTGTATAACTTAAGTCACAGCCAACAGTGTACTCCCTGGCATGTGATACAAGGCTGTAGGTGTATTGTAAAACTTTTTGTTTGACAGTTTTCATTTAATATTAATTTGTCAGTAGGTTACATTTATCTTTTTTTTTACAATTACTATCATTATTTTTATGCTGACTCGTTAGCGTTAGGGAATAATGATATCCAGTGAGGCTCTGTAGATATCTAGATAAATTATGGTTTCAAAAAGTTAGTTTTCTCTTGTTAATTTTTACCTGTGACAGATATTAACTCAGTAGTGGTCCAGTGTGTAGTCACCGGTATGCACCGACTTGCAGCCCAGCTCACCCGGGCGACTGTGTAGTTACCTCAACACACTCTAGGTTGAAATAGAAATAACACATATTTATAATTTTGTTTTTGTTTGTTGATGTAAATAGTGGAACCCCCAACAAGAGTCCAGCAGAGGAAAACTTCCCTGACTGTGACACTCGCCTTAGTCGGCTCACCGCTATGGTGTGTCACTCTCCCTACAGATGTATCGTTTTTATAATTACTTAATAAAAAATAAATCTATAATTTTTTCTATTACCAAAGTTTAAGATAAGCTTTATCCTGAGACCCTCTAATGCTGTCTGTACTTCTGTAACAGTTCAGATGTCAGGATTTTGTCTAGCTAAATGCTGTTGGTTTATAATATCACTGCACTATTTCTGTAATGAACTACTAGTAAATGTTATCAACCTTTCTATTAACTGTTGCCTTTTTTGCTGCTTGGATCTCGATTCTGCTAAGTCACTGTCGATGGTCCACAAGACATCACTTATTGGTAACGTTATATACGACTGTTATATATCCCAGGAGTACCAATATTTACAGATATACAATGAATATGGTAATCCAATAACACCCTTGTTCTGTGTGTGTGTGTGTGTGTGTGTGTGTGTGTGTGTGTGTGTGTGTGTGTGTGTGTGTGTGTTGCCCCTCGTCTCAAGCTGTTGTCTCCTCTGACGTAACTATGTAAAACGCTGAAGAACATTATTCATGTAATTTTCTTCCTGTCTTCATCCTGAGGTGTAGAAATCCCTCACGTATTACTTTTCACTAATATACCGTAAAGAAGTTTGAAATAAATGAATGATTCTGTCCATTCTTCACCTACCTGTATGACGAGGTACAACAGGTGTGAGCAGGACTAGTATTAAAGTTGTATCTATTTCAACTCTAAGGTTAGGTTAGGTTAGGTTGGGTTAGGTTAGGTTATGAATTCCAGTTGTCATCAAACCTTCATCAGTGGCTTATTGTCATAGTTCCATTACGAGATTCACTGCCAAATATTACATTCCATATTACCAATTAATCCTTCCTACCATCACCAAACACCTCAAAACATCTGTAGTCTCAACTTTCATTTCATTCCACAGTCAATTCACCCTTGCAATATGTATTTCAAAAACTTCACAGCGTAACAGATGCAGTTTATATCCAGGGGGTCGTGTTGTATTCATCAGTCAGACAAGATGTACCTTTTCAAGACTGATATGCAATGGTCAAATTTATTCATCCCTTTTTCCTCAAGTTTGATTTCCCTCGCGAGTCTACAGGGAAGATCACTAGGCAGTGTATGTTGTGTGAGGGACAGCAGGGGTTGGGGTGGGTTGGGCGGGGGTGGGGTGGGTTGGCGGGGTGTCGTGGGGTTGGGTTAGTCTTGCTTTATATTCCGTTTGATATTTGGTATATTTGAAGCCTTGAAGTGGACGGGATTGTATTCTCTCTCTCTCTCTCTCTCTCTCTCTCTCTCTCTCTCTCTCTCTCTCTCTCTCTCTCTCAACCGTCCCCCTCCCCTCACATCCCCGCATGGTATATATTAGTTTATAATTCAGTATAGAAGTTTGTGTTTATATCGTAAGAAGAATGTCCTCCACAGTGTATACAAACAATATATATAGGTGACTCGAGTTTCATAATAACATTAACTCGCTTGACGATTTGGTGTGAGACAATGTGACACAACGAACGAAGGATTTTGATAACCATACCGGGACAACAGGAATCGCAGTTTTATTGTGAAATTTATCGTCCCCTCCAGATTAGAAATTTTTTTGGCGATTGTTACGTTCTCTATGAAAATGGAACAATTACTGTTATATTATCCTAAGACTTCATGAAATATCGTACTTGAATATGTATAGGAGCTGCCATGCACAGGCCAACCGGCCTATTGCAGACTCCTTATTTTCTTATAGTAAAAAAAGTACTAGTTTTAGTTATAGTTAAATGTTATAATGCAACATACATTGACCCTTCACTATAACCGGTAGTCAAGGCTGGCTAACGTCCATCGCCTCTACCAGATCAGTTATCAACTTGTCACACAAAGTCAATTTTTCCGCCAAACAGCTGATGGATAACGAGATACCCCGCCACAAGCCGCCTCCAGCATCTTAAGCCTTCATTAAGTCTCCCAATAACAAAAGTATAAAATATTTAATTCTTTTTAGAGATCAGGGCGCCATGGGACTCACTTATATACGTCTTGTGTTCCATCGATTTTTTTGTTTTCATCATCTTCGCTGCTTTGACTTGGCCGCCTTAACTTGGCCACTTTAACTTGGCCGCTTCATCTTGGCCGCTTCATCTTGGCCGCTTAAGCTTGGCTGCTTCATCTTGGCCTCTTTATCTTGGCCGCTTCATCTTGGCTGTTTTAACCGAGTTTCTTGTTCCGTAGACTTTAATTACCACTTTCTGGAGAGCCGCTCGACCTCATTGTGATGATCCGTCGACCGTAATTTCCACCATCTTGGCACGCCACTCCGAAACTGACCACGTCCAAGAGGGGGGTTGGTGGTTAACGTCCACTGATCGGGGGTCCGCTCACACTTGCAACCTGCAGTATCCTTCCATATCCGCAGGTAGGACAACCTCCAATCTCAATCCGGTCTGGCTGCTCCAGGAGCTCCAGCCGGAACCACCAAACGGGCCGCCTATAGGCAAAGGTCCGTGTCGGACTACGGTCCGACAATCTCAACAACAACAACAACATCTTGGTAGTCCCTTGACCTTACTTACTCTTCTACGAGGCCTTTACTCCTCTGCTGTGTGGCCTCGGTGCTTTCCGCCTTCTGTGTGGCTCTGAGCTGAGGGGCCGCTTTCTGTGTGCCCCTGAGCTGAGGAGCCGCCTTCTGTGTGGCCCTGAGCTGAGATCTACAGTGTGGTGTAAGCTATAAGTGACTGGATATTGAATGTACAGTGGGAGCTTTTGGAGAGGGAACTAGAAATGACGAAGGAAACAGATAGAGTTTATGCCCTTTGTATCTACATCCACGGAATCCTCTCGTCTCTCAATTGTTGATGTGACAAAGACACCTTCCGTTTCCTCACTCCTTGGTCAAGACATCTACTGTATTGTATTCTCAAGAAAGCCAATACAGTATAACATAGATCACTGGACATTAAAAGTAAACGTAATGATGTACAATTTTCCCATTAAAACAGAAGAAAAAAATCGCCACTTGTAAATGAGCTCTGAGTTCTGAACGTTGAAATTACTTGGTAAAAACAGGACAAGATATTTGCAGGTTCCTCGAGTTTCTTTGTTGGGGAATATTTAATTTTATTTTATTTGATTTTTTTTTATTTTATCATGACTCGGGTTATTACTTGTGGGTACAGACCTCAGGCCAGATTCTCAGGTCTTCATATTGTAACTTTTATCTCTCCAACCTGAAGTAAGGATGAGAGAACACTTTTATTAACTATTAAGTCATTGCATTTCAGCACCACTCGGCGAACTATTTAGAACTATTCTTTAAGACAGCTCTTTCGATGTATCCTGCCAGCTGTGATGAGTTAGTAGTATTAAGTCATTGTTGTACACCGCTTCCACATTCCGTTTCAAAGGGTGTCGAGTGAAGCGCATATGTTGTCATTGCTTGGTAGTGAAACACCCACGTGTATAGTGTTTGTGGTCTTTGTTTGATGTTTAAATGGATGGTAAACCCTAGTCAACATAGATACCATGTGATCAATGAGAATAAATACTCGGTATAGTTCAGACAAACACTTAACTCACCCTGACCCCCACCCCCTTATCCCCACCTCCCTCAAAAATCATAAAAAAAATATTACAGGAGAAAAAAATTTAAAGATACACAAATAAAAGTAAATAAAGCAGAAACGAGTTAAACAATCAAAACAATGGCAACAGAATGTCAACAAAAGTGATATTTTTTCCACAACCCATCCAGGTACAGACTCTCGCTGTTTAGGTAGGGAGGGAGGGAGGTACGTAGGTAGGTAGGTAGGTAGGTAGGGAGGGAGGGAGGGAGAGAGTTAGGTAGGTAAGGAGAGGGAACAATGAGGATTAAGGGAGATTACTTATAGAGGAAGGGAGAGAATAAAGAGGGAGAAGATTAAACGTTTGGTGATGGTAAAAATAACAGTTTGAGGATGAAGGAACGAGTCTCCCTTCACCATGACAGCTCTCATTACCACCGGCGCCCCACACTTCCTCCCACAAGACTCTACTCCTTCCCTCTTCTTATTCATGCTGTTCCTGCGCCTCACCCACGCCCTCTTGAATGTAGGACAAAAGCTCCTTAGAACAAAAGCTCCTTAGAACAAAAGCTCCTTAGAACAAAAGCTCCTTAGAACAAAAGCTCCTTAGGACAAAAGCTCCCTAGGACAAAAGCTCCCTAGGACAAGAGCTCCTTCAGGAAAAAAGCTCCTTAGGAGAAAACCCCATAGGAAAAAAGCCCTGCAAGATAAAAGTCCCCCAAGGACAAAATGCCCCCTAAGATAAATGATAATAAGACTTTTTTTTAAACATTATTTTTATTCTGTATTATTTACTCTTTATGAACACATCTCAGACATGTAAAAATATTACATTTATTTTATCACAAGACTGGAATACCTAACCTAACCGTTTACTTTGCACTTTAACTGAGGGGGTTTTGTCCGGGGGGGCTTTTGTCCAGACCCCCGCCCTCTGAGCCACCAAAGCACTTAACCTGAAGCAGATAATGTAGTCATCATATTCTTCTCTTAAGAGGAGGTGTGGTCTCTCCGTGGACCATTCTACCTTGTAAATGTGTTGGTATAATTTACACTGAACTTACAGGCTAAAAGTATATTCCATTCACTACTAATACAGATAACAGTATCAAGTGTTGTGTTGTGATTTATAAGTCTCGTAATTCAGCTTCATGAACCGGAGGAAATTAGTCAGAAAAGATGATTGTTCTCAAACGCTTCGTTATATCATGTTTTTTTTCACGATTGTTCTCAATAGCTTCGTTATACCATGTTTTTCACGATTGTTCTCAAAAGCTTCGTTATATCATGTTTTTTTCACGATTGTTCTCAAAAGCTTCGTTATATCATATTTTTTTCACGATTGTTCTCAAAATGCTTCGTTATATCATGTTTTTTTCACGATTGTTCTCAAAAGCTTCGTTATATCATGTTATTATTCACAATTGTTCTCAAAAGCTTCAATACATCATGTTTATTCATACTTTTAGACTTTATTTTATTGATCTTAAAGTGAATTGTTTTAGAAAGACTGAAAGACT